GGTTTTGTTGCCTGTAACATGGCCTTTCTCTCATGCACATCTCCCTTTAGCATTTGGTTTAGTCTGGGATCTGGGGTGTGAACCTTTGTGCCAAATTTTAAGGTCTACAAATATGAAATACTCTCATTGACTGCAGTGGGAGTTTTGCCTTCCAAAATAAATTCCCTGAAATGGAGACATGAGAATTAGGGCCTGTCCCTTTATTTGTATGCCTTGTAGTGGCTAATTCTAATGTGCCAAGCTGTTCCTTCAGTTATACTCATGCAAACCCACTGATTAAGTTTCCAACCATGAAAGAACTTTGCCCAACACATTTTATTTTTCCGATTAGTTGCTGACTGTTGGTGCAATTGAATGTACACAAAACACAGCCCTAAGCTGGAGCTCTATTGATTTCAGTAGGAATTTTGCCTGCAGTATGATTTCTTCCACCTACAGCTGCTATAGGAAGAGGAGCTGACAAGACAAATGTAGTTGTGACATCTGATTAGTTTTACTCTTTGAGACTTCAGCTCAGAAAGCAGGGGGCAAACACAAGCCAATCACCAGATCAAATGTTACCACACTCATTTGTTAACATGCCTCCTTGAATGGAATTAATGAAACCTTTCATTATAGATCAATATGCTCTTTGACTACAGAGTATTATGGGTACCTTTTGTGTATGCTTAATTAGATTGAAATTGCTTTCAGATTTCCTTTATATTCTAGAAAAATCTGATCTCAGCAGTTTAAAAAAGCACAACAAGAATCCCTCTATCTTGGCTCCAAAAACTAGCAACAGAAAAGGAGAAAAAAGTTCCATAAAACTCTCCTGCTCTGTGCTTCACTTAATAGAAATTTAGCTGCCCCTAAAAAGAACAGTAGAAAATACCATAGTATGTAAATAAAGAAAAAAAAATTGTTAATTCATGTGTTGCCTTCACAGAAGACTTAGGGCCCACATTAAAGTAAGCAGAGAGGGCATCTACACAGGGCACTTACTGCGAGTTGCCTAATTAGCAGTAATGTGTCACCATGTACACATGCGAGCTATTAGGCCGGAGTAAACTAATTAACTCTGCTTTAGGTTAGTACTACCCAAAACAAGTACTGTCCTGTGGCAGAGTTATTTATTCTGCCACAGTGCACGTGTAGACATTGACCGGGGCTGGCTGGGACACAAGGGTGCTACAGTGTGGGAGCTGTAGCACCCTCATGCCCCAGCCAGCCCCTCTGCAGCACATTGAGCCAGGGGGAGCAGCTCTGGACCGACAGGCTGACCCCCCCAGGGCTCCCTTCCAACTGGGGCTGTGCCACCCTCACTTAACATGCTGTGGTCCTGGATGCATGTGTAAACACATCCCCCAGGAGCAATAACCTCCAGCGCAAACTGCTCCAGAGTGTGTTGTGTTGCACTAATTTCACATGTAGATGCACCCAGAATGTCTTAACTTACTTTTTGAGTAGTTGCATTGTGCCTCTAGGGAGGAAAACATGCTCTGTTTTCTATATGGGGCCAGTTTTCATTTGACTTGGTCAACGCTTGGATGTTTAAGGAGAAATCTCTCAAGAAGTAACTTGCTGCCCTCTCCCAAAGTATTTTTTCCATGAAAACAATATCCATAAAAATCCCACTTCCTTTCTGCTTTTCTCTCCCCAAAAGAAATTCCCTTAACAATGTACCTCCCAAATATATTCCCATCAAGCTTCCTATCTGAAACTCTTTTGGTCACTAAAACCCTCTCAGAACCCCTTCTTACAACTGCTCTTTCAAATCAAATTCTCTTTATACAAAGCATGCCTCCAAAACAGCCGTTGCACAATATAAGTTTATTCTTCACCACATACCTTTTCCCTTAACACCCAATTGCTATCAAAATAATAAGTAAATAATGATGGTAGTGATAAAGAAATATAATAAAATTAATTAGCTTAATCTTTTTTTTTTGTTATATTCCCCACTCAATTTATGACCATCACATTTCTATTTTATATGCATTTCTATTTTATATGCATTTATCGCATCCTGTCTTACCTTAGTTGTAAGTATTCTGGGGCAGAGGTTTTTTTTGTTGTTATTTGTCTGCACTTTGATTAACACAATAGAAATTAGATTGGTATTCCCATGTCTATTATTAGTATTAGTAATAACAATAGTGATTATGATGATGATGCCAGGCAACATTGTTCTATATCTACTACAAAATATACCTGTCCTACGAAATTGTTCCTCCACAGAAACAAGCCTTCACCCGATGGGATTATAAATAGATATTCTTACTCCCAAAGACCTTTTGAATCAGATTTAGTTTTAATTTCTTACACTCACTGAGCCAGAGTGACTGATGGTCTCTTCTTTTTCCCTTGGACCAGTGTTACTCGGGAGGAGAGAACAGGTTTAATTCCTGATTTTTGTGTTCCTCTCTGCCCAGATTGCTATAGCCCTTCTGCCTACCAGTCTGGCCCTTCCAAGTTCTGCTTCTTGTACAGTGGCAGCTCATTTGTCATTTCTTTCTTTGCATACAGAATTGTTGGCAGGACAGAATTAACCACAAAATACAAAAGTCTTGTTCCTCAGGCCCGTCTGTGGGGTCACAGAAGAGTGTGTATGCAGGTACGAGGGAGGGGGAAGGTGACTTGTGGAACAGACTGGCAGAAGCTTGGGCAAATGACCCCCATTGCGAGGAAGGTCCCATGGATGGATCCAACCCAGACACTAAAGTAAGCGCCTAGCTTAAGAGCCCACCCCAAATGGGTTTATTCTTGAGGTAGGAAGTAGGCTGACCTACTGCCCCTGGTTTGCAGGTGACAATGCCTTTGTCACTGCACTCTTTCAGGAAGTGGGGCAGCAAGCATGACCTGACTAGCTCAAAGGCAGATGAAGAAGGGGCCTGAGACCCTGCAAGGTGTCTGAGGGTTCCTGGAAGAACCAGGGCTTCAGCCACTGCCATTCATTATTGAAGGATTGGAGGAAGAGGTGTTGGCTGTTGCTGATGCACTCTGGACAGCCTTGAAGGCGGTCATGGCCTCAGCTTTTGGGGCGCTGGTCCTGTCCAGACAGCGAGAAGGGCCGGCTGCTCCTGGGATCAGCGGTGCTTGGAAGAGAAGAGGGTCTCCAGCCCTGACCTGGACCTCAGGCTGCCTGTGGGCAGAGCGCTGCCCCTCCCACAGGAGGGCACTGCGTGGCTCTTGCCCCGCTGTCCTAGTGGAGGGGGCAAAGAAACTTTCCATGGCAGTGAGCAAGAAGGAGGGGTTCCCTGGACTGGAGAGAGGCAGGATCCCTGTGCTGGAGCGGCTGGCCCTTAGCCTGGGGTTCCCCCTGCCAGCTCCAGCCTCAGCCCCGCTTCTGCAGCGGAGGGCACAGGGTCCCCGTCTCCCAGCGCCTCGTGCCCTTCTCCGCGCAGCTCCAGCGGGGCCCCGGGGAGCCGGCTCCACCTTGGTGGGGGGCGAGAGAGAAAGAAGCCGGGAATGAGCAACAGCCTCCAGCCTCCTCCCGCCTGCCTCCCCCTCGCTGCTCGCCGCTCCCTCCCGCCGGCCCCTCCCTCCCCCC